GAGACGGGGTTTCACCGTGTTAGCCAGGATGGTCTCGATCTCCTGACCTCGTGATCCGCCCGCCTCGGCCTCCCAAAGTGCTGGGATTACAGGCGATCCATAACTTTTTAAAACATATTTTCTTTTTGTTAAAGGTAGAAAATACAAAGAAAAAACATACATATCATCAATAATCTTACCCCAAGATAACCACTGTTAACATTTTCATGTATGTCCTCTTAGGTTTTCTCTCATAAATATTTGCTTCTAAACATTCTTTGCAGGGATGGGAAGAGCATGACTGGTTTGTAAACCAGCTTTTCTCATTTAACAATCCATCATCAACAGTGATACTATACTCGACATTGGAAAGCATTCTTTAAATACTGGCTGAATGAATATGCACCACAAGAAAGTGCCTCTGCTTTTAAAGATGTGTCAAGAAAAATTTGAAATATGCATACAATCTGTCCAATTAATCCCACTTTTAGGAAATGTGTCTTAAGGAAATCATTTGAAGAGCATGGTAAGATTTCTATCTAAGGATATGTACGATATCACTGATTAAAATATCAAAATTTGAAATAGCCCAAATGTCTTACAGTAGAGAATTAGCTAAATATATCATTTCCTATCCATATAAAACACCACACAGTCAACTGAAAGATGATATTGATTTAGATGTACTGACATGGAATATGCTAAGTGAACTGCTGCGTGAATAAAGTAGTTTCAAAACAGAACATATGTCATGAAGTCAGTTTTGAATTTTAATTAATATGTGTACATCTGCATAAGAAAAGGTTTAGACCAGAGGTGGGCAAACTTATTCTGAAAAGGACCATAGAGTAAATTTTTCAGGCTTTGCGGCCATTCAGTCTCTGTCACAGGTACTCAACTCTGCCACTGTAGTTTGAAAGTAGTCATAGTGTGTGGAAGAATGAGTGCGGCTGAGTTCCAATAAAACTTTATTTACAAAAACAGGTAGCAGGCCCAATTTGGCCCAAAGGCTGCTGTTTGCTCACTCCTGGTCTAGAAGAAAATATACTAAACTGCTAATGGTAACTATTTCTGATTAGTAGAACTATGGGCGATTTCTAATTTCCTCTTTATAATGTGATAATTTTTGCATGTTCTCAATTAAATTTAATCATAAGTACGTATTATTTTAAAAACCAATAGCATGTTCTTTTCTCTTTTTTTGGTGGGGCTGGGGGAGAAGGCTTTGAGATGTCCAAGACATGCATGGTTTCCTATTTTAATACAAATTCTTATTCATTGTTTCTCAGTTTTTCTATAGGATACCACAAAGACCTCTCAACATACATTTTAAGGAAAGGAAGAAGGGGAGGCGGGAGAGAAGGCGGGAAGGAAAGAAGCAAGGGAGCGAGGACGGAAAAGAGGAGAGGGGGAAGCAAAAAATAACAAACTCCAGTCCTGTCTTGGGGTTAGGGAAAGCCGTGACCCACCACTAGACATAAATCACAGCGGGCGAGCTCTTTGTCAACCTCCTCCAGAATGGCACGATCCAGGTTTTCCCCAAACCACACGACGTGAGGGCGCAGCAAGCCTCCGCAGCCTGCCTCTTCACACCTGGAAGAATGGGATCCTTGAGCCAAGCCCGAGCAAAGTCTGCCCAGCTGGATCGGAGGGAGGCCCGGGGCTACCCCAAACCCAGTACGTCCAGATGGTTCACCTCTGATGCCTCTTACTCCCTACACCCTCCTCCCAGCCTATATAAACTTGCCTTGCATGTGAAGCATCAGGTTTAATGGTCCTTTTTTTTTTTTTTTTTTTTTTTTTGAGACGGAGTCTCGCTCTGTTGCCCAGGCTGGAGTGCAGTGGCGCGATCTCAGCTCACTGCAAGCTCCGCCTCCCGGGTTCACGCCATTCTCCTGCCTCAGCCTCCCGAGTAGCTGGAACTACAGGCGTGTGCGACCACACCCGGCTAATTTTTGTATTTTTAGTAGAGATGGGGTTTCACTATATTGGCCAGGCTGGTCTCGAACTCCTGACCTCATGATATGCCTGCCTCAGCCTCCCAAAGTGCTGGGATGACAGGCGTGAGCCACCGCGCCCTGCCGAACTGTCCTTGTTTTTTATCTTGTGTCTGTGTACCTGATGTGCTGACAGATTGTTTCAGCTAAGCTTTCCCGGTTCCTTCATTATGCTCACACTTGTGCTCACAGCCACCCAGACCTGGGAGTCATACTGGACTCAGGTTTGCCTCCCACCCCAAGCATCCCCTAATTTCATCCATGACTTTTCATGTGCTCTCAGGTTCACGTCTCTCTGGCCCCGTATGTAGTCAGCTTTCCTGTATCCATTACTAAAAATCTCTTTCTTTCACTCCCTCCTACCTCAGGGTCACCTTCTATACACCTCCTAAAATCATCCCTCAAACACCATTTTCATCATCGTAATCTCCTGCATCATAGAAGTCCTCCAGGTCTCCCTATCCCTTCAGAAGAAAACTTTAATATTTAGCAATTAAAACCCTCATAAGGAAAATTTAAAAGGTTCTGTGGTTAAATAAGTCAGTAAAGCATTAACATACATTTTATAACCACTTTTTAGAAGGCAGCAATGTGGAATAAATGCTCTGAAAAGTCCTGCAGTAGAGCAAACATATTTTAACTTTGTTTAGTCTAACGTTTCTGTATTTGAGTGCCTAACATGTTTTTATCAAGTAATGTCTCTCAACGTAATATTAAATTAATGTTCTATGAAACACTTTTAGAAGTGCTGTTTTATTTTACCTTAAAAACACTCTAATCCAGCCAGGCACGGTGGCTCCTGCCTGTAATCCCAGCATGTTGGGAGGCCGAGGTGGGTGGATCACCTGAGGTCAAGAGCTCAAGACCAGCCTGGCCAACATGGCAAAACCTCGTCTCTACTAAAAACACAAAAAATAGCCGGGTGTGGCGGCGGGCGCCTGTAATCCCAGCTACTCGAGAGGCTGAGGCAAGAGAATCATTTGAATCCAGAAGGCGGAGGTTACAGTGAGCCAAGATCGTGCCACTGCACTCCAGCCTGGACATCAGAGTGAAATTCCATCTCAAAAAAAAAAACAAAAAAACAAAAAAACCCACAACAAAAAAACCTCTGATCCAATTACAGATTATAGAAGTGCTGTTTTAATGTTTGGTTTTGAAAAATTGGCATCAAAATCTTCCTTTTTTTTTTTTTTTTTTAAATCTATGAACATTCTGTTGGGTCCTGTAACCTCTCCTATTCACGTCCTTTCATTGCCTCCTTATTCATTGCCTCCTTAACCATGGATTAACAATGCCAGTGATGTTATTTGACCAGTTACAGGTCAGCCCATATGCTTTCTGTACACTGGGTAACCACCTGTCACACAACAGCTTCAGAAACTTTCCCGAACTCAAATGATCCCGCCAGAACACAAAGCAAAAAGGGGTTGGAAAGAAATCATTTTTTTCATCCTACTTTGGTTCATCCTTTGTCCTTTCACTTTTGGTCTTAGAGGTCAAGGCTGGTTTTCACATTTGTGCATTTGATTTAAGAGGCATCTTGCCAAATACATGTTTAGATTTTGATGTCTATTTCTTTGTAACCAGGAACACTGGTACAAATCAGAGCTTTTTACCCACCGGGGAAGTTTCTCAACTGGGATGCTGGCATCTTGAGTTCCAGGTTCTGGAGCACTGAAGTAAATAATATTAGAAAAGAAAGATTGTTATTGGCATAATAAAAAATAAAGAAACAACATAACTCAGTTTGTATATTTGCCTGGTAGTATGTGGTGTAAAACTCCTAATTAATACATGCTCACTTGGAAGGGCATTAGAAGGAAGGACCCCAGGCCATTAATTACCAGTGGTACTGGGCATAGTGGCTCATGCCTATAATCCCAGCATTTGGTGAGGCCAGAGTGGGAGGACTGCTTGAGGCCAGAAGATCAAGACCAGCCTGGGCAACATAGTGAGACTGCATTTCTACCAGAAATACAAAAATTAGCTCACTGTGGTGCATGCCTATAGTCCTAGCTACTTGGGAGGCTAAGGCAGGAGGACTGCTTGAGCCCAGGAGTTGGAGGCTGCAGTAAGGTGTGATTGTGCCACTGTACTCCAGCCTGGGAAACAGAGCAAGACTCTGTCTCAGAAAAAAAAAAAAAAAAAATCACCAGTGGTTGTACTGCCAGTGAGAGAATTCGTGTGTAGGGAGGGCTGGAGTAGCTGGGTGTGCTAAGAGGGAACTTCATGTTTACCTTTATACATCATCATCATTTGTATCCTCTGCAATTACATTATACATTCCTTATATAATTTATACTGTTTTGAAATGGAATTTTCCTCAATATTGTGTCTACCCTCAAATGTTTTCCTCATTGTAATAATAGTGCTTGTTCATCATAGAAATGTAGGAAAATTCAGAAAGATATAAAGAAGAAATTAAAAATTACCCATAATCCCTCCACTCCTGATATTCCTTGTTAATATTTTGTTATATTTTCTTCTGGTCTTTTAACTATATGCAGTTATACAAACTCATGTGTGTATAAATTCAGGACCCTGTGGTTTTCACTTAACACTGTAAGTTGTGAGCAAAATATTTATTTCATCACAAGGCTATATTTGTTTTTTTTTTTTTGAGACAGGGTCTCCCTGTCACCCAGGCTGTGGTGCGGTGGCATGATCTCAGCTCACTGCAGCCTCGACTTCGCAGGTTCAAATAACCCTCCCACTTCAGCCTCTCTAGTAGCTGGGACTACAGGCATGTACCACCATACCCAGCTAATTTTTTTTTTTTTTTTTTTTTGTAGAGACAGGTTTCTCACTATGTTGCCCAGGCTGATCTTAAACTGCTGAACTCAAGCAATCTTCCCACCTTGTAACCCCAAAGTGCTGGGATTACAGGCATGAGCCACCGCACCCAGCCTTGTATTTAGTCTTATTTCTCATATCAATGGGAATCTTTGATGAATGTTCAATTTCCTCACATTTATGTCCGACCTAAAGGAGAAAACAACATATACTTATTCTGTAGTGTGGTATAATTACCCTTTTCCTGATAAAGCTGGACAAATTGGACTCTTGTAATTCTCAGCCACAACGCCACAAGAGGTACATCGAGTTTTAAATAAGCTACCTGAAAAATACATACGAAGGAAATCCAGAATTTAGTCTAATCAAGAGCAATCATCTCCACATCTGAAAGGGTGTAAGATACTTCACTTTCCACACTTCATTTCATTTTCTGGTCTCACCCAGTTACCCAGGCTGGAGTGTAGTAGTACGATCATAGCTCACTGCAGCTTCCAACTCCTGGGCTCGAGCGATCCTCCTACCTTTGCCTCCTGAGCAGCTGGGACTATAGGTGTGCACCGCCACACTGAGCCATACTTCATTTTAGCAAATGGGCCTACCCTAGCTTTCATGGGAAACAGAGGCATGCAGTACTCTTAAGCCAGTCAAGAACATATGCCCTCAAGGACTTTATAATCTGGAGGAAAAATAACTAACTCCATGACTAACGTGCCGTCAGATGACCTTGGAGTGGTGTTCAAGTGGGCAGAAGTGGCCAATAGGGTAGAGGGAGCTCAACGTAAATCTAAGGGCATGATTTATTGATATGACTGATAAAGGTTCAACGGCATGGGATATGTTTACAAAATCTTAACTTTGATTTCAGAAAGCTTCAATCTTTTATACAAAAGCACCTCAATAAATAAGTAATCAACTACTAAGTGAAAAAAGTAATTGTTAATACTAACGACTACTTATTGAGCTGAAGGGGGCCAGAGTTTATGAAATGGGTACTAGGCACCTGGTACCGTGCAGAGCACTTTCAACCACAGTGGACATGCGCTGCTCTGTTCTGCCCCCGAGTCCTTCCTTGGGGACCACCATCCCTGCTCTCTCGCGTGCTGAGCCAATAGGGCTGTGGGTCACACCCCAAATACAAGTTCAGCCACATGCTCCACACGGCCCCCATGTGGGGCCCATCCCTCTGCAGTCGTGTTTGGTCAGAAGGGTGGGCGTGTGGACCAAGCAAGCCCACCCAGAGGTTTATTTTCTGAGCAGGTGGCTGAGCTGGAGAGCCTGGAGCTGTCGGAGGCACTCTCCCCTGGCACGTGGAGGCAGATCAATTGCAGAGGGAGAAGGGAGGCCACCTCAAAGAGTGAGTAAAGTTGAGAGAAGGAGGGGGACAGGGGCCAGGAGGAAAGATGACACAAGCTGCACCCCCAGGCTCCTCGGTTTTGTCAGTTTTAGTGTAGACATTTTTCCCCATTTTCACATCTCTGAAATTCAGATGTGTCCTGCAGTTGCTACTGGCCAGATGTGAGTGTGACATCACCATCATGCTTGCACAGACTTGCTGAAGGAGAACACTGAAAAGTGGGGTGACTTGGCTGTTATTCTCCATGGCCTGACCGGGCAGATTCAGCCCCTGGATCCTTCCACCAACAAACCATTCAAGGGCCGCTTCAGGAAGGAAAGCGGGTTTTGGCTGTTGTCTACAGCCTTTCCACTGATGGCCTCTTGGTAAGAGTATGTCAGGCCCAACAGCGAACCTGCGGAAGGTGTGCCAGGAGCTTGGACGAGAACAGCTCTAACAGAGGGGCATTCTCTCTGGAAAGGCCGCATCATCCATGTCCTGAGGCACAGAGCATGAAACTGCATGGAAAATACAGACATCCATGCTCTGAGTCACTCAGAATTCAGAAGCGCTAGATAATGAGAAATATTTGGACCAGTTTATTATACTCATTTTAACAAGCTCTCTAAGTAAAAAATAACAATTCTAAGGGATAATAAAATAGTATATCATGGTTTAGGCAGATTATATTCTAAATGCCACATTAAAAACATGATGCATCTTAAAACACCCTTCATCAGACTGAAGAGGCCATTGATTTTTTTTAACCTAAGTTAGAAGAGAGTTCTCATCATTTGAAACTAAAAAAAGTCCTAACACACATATAAGATCTTATTTAATCCTTACAACAATTCTGTAAGATAGGCATTGTCATCTCGGTTTTATGCTGATGACATAGGCCACATTCTGACATTGCAGGGAAATGAGCAGAGGCACGTGGAAAGTGGCTCAGACCCAGTAGATGTAGGTACCAAAAAGATGCTCAGTTAATAGGTGGCTGGCTGTTCCTGGCAAACAAAAGAGAGGCAGAGTCGAAATGAGTAATGCCTCGCTTTCCTTATCGGGGTGACCTAAGTAAACGCAGGCAGCTTTACCACACACACGCAAAAACAAACATCCCCACTGGTGCACTGCCTCTGGAAATGCTACACTTAGAAATGCATTCTTGGCTGGCGCAATGGCTCACGCCTGTAATCCCAAAACTTTGGGAGGCTGAGGAAGGAGGATTGCTTGAGGCCAAGAGTTCGAGACCAGCCTGGACAACATGGTGAGACAATGTCTCCACAAAAATTTTAAAAATTATCTGGGCATGGTGGCATGTGCTTGTAGTCCCAGCTACTCTGGAGGCTGAGGTGGGAGGATCCCTTAAGGCCAGGAGTTCAAGCCTGCAATGAGTTATGATCGAGCTACTGTACCCCAGCCTGGCCAAGAGTGAAACCCCCATCGCTAAAAAAAGTAAATTAATTAATTGAATAAAATTAAGAGAAAGAAATGCTTAAAAAATACGAAATGCATTCCTTGAATCTGAATGCAGACTCTTTAAATGCAAATGGCCTTGGGAGAAACCCTAGTTTGCCCATTATGACTGTGGACAGCTGGATGTATTAGACTTGTGGTGACAGCAAAGAAGGGAGGAACCAGAAGACAAGAGTGAAGGAGTGAGGGGTCACCCAGGACAGAGGAAGGAGCCCAGAGGGACCCCAGACAAACTCCACCGACATCACAGGCTTGGTGGGTTTGGTGGTGTCCAGCACTGAGCTGGCAGCTCTCTGAGGCTCCAGGGCGCGGTGGAAGCGCAGCCTCAGTGGGAAGTGACCACCAGGATGAAGGGAGAGTGACAGGAGACCCCAAGATGCTGCAGTCTGCCCCTGCCCAATCCTGCTCAAGCCCTGGCTGTCCAATGAGCCAGGCCTCCTGTTCCTTGGCTCATTGAGGCCGTTGTCTCACAGCACCGCGCCCCTTCACAAAGGAAGGGGTCATGCAGCTGTGCACCCCAGCGTTCCTCCAGTAGCACACCAGCCACCTGGGCTCATGGGAAAATGCAGATTCTGATTCGGTGGGTCCTATGGGGCCTGAGATTCCGCATTTCTAACAAGTTCTTGGGGGATGCCGAATGTCGCTGGCTCTCAGACCATACTGAGCAGCGAGGATGCAGGAACTGCTAAGTAAATAATGCTATGGGTCAGAGGCTCCTCCCATGCCTAAAGGGAGCTGCCCAGGTGCCACGGGGCACTAACATGTCTCCAAAGGAAATGCCATAGCATCCTATGGGAACGGGACAGGTGTCCACCAGGGAGGGAGGGAAGGCACCAGGGGTGATGCTGAAATGGCAGGACAGGTGTTTTAAAGCTGGTTCCCTGAACGTGAGGCTGGGGGTCTCTCACCATGGATCTCCAGAAGGTTCTTGGTGCCAGCCTTGCGGTGCAACTCATCGATGTTCTGGGTGATGACCACGACTCGCCGGCCCTGCTTACCCAGCCGGGTCTCACACTCGGCTATGGCGCGGTGCCCGGCGTTGGGCTCCTTGCTCCCCATGACCTCCCGCCGGTAGTGGTAGAACTCCCACACCCGGGACGGGTTGTGGGCAAAGGCCAGGGGAGTCGCCAGGTCCTGGGGGTGGGAGAGGAGGCGGGAGTGAGGGAGGCAGGGGCAGCCAGGATGCTGAACTCTGGGGCACAGGCCCTTCCTCCCTAAGGCAGAGATAGGCAGCGTCAGGAGGGTGCAGGCTGGAAATGGCAGCACTAGGTTCAAACAACATGGCAGATGCCAGGCAGGGCCTGGGTACCAGCCTACGTCCCCATCCTGGGACTGCCCAGGGGTCTTGGAGAAATCAGTCAATTTCCTTAGTGACAAAGCAGGGATGATGCAACCTGTCCCATTTATCTCCCAAGTAAGTTGTGAAGATGAAGTAAAATAATATGCAGGAAGGTATTTTGGGTCAAATCCCCTTTTTCATGGAGCCCTAAAACATATGAAGTGGATCTCATTTTGACCTACACCCAGGGAGAACATGAAATGCGAAATGCCCATTGAATCAGTCTAATGACCATGGTTGAGAAACTCAGTTTTGATAACTATAGCTATGGCTATACACACACACATACAACTACACACATCTACATCCACACACATCTACACACATACAAATAAACACATACACACAACTCAACACACACTATACACATCAACACACACACAACTGCACACACACATACAACTAGACATACACACGACTACACACATCTACATCCACACACATCTACACACATACAACTAACACACAACCACACACATCTATACACATACAACTGAACACATACAACCACACACACACAACTCAACATACATACACACTACACACATTGACACACACACAACTGCACACACATACACATAACTAGACATACACACGACTACACACATCTACATCCACACACATCTACACACATACAAATAAACACACACAACCACACACACAACATACATACACACTACACACATTGACACACACACAACTGCACACACATACACACAACTAGACATACACACGACTACACACATCTACATCCACACACATCTACACACATACAAATAAACACATACACACAACCACACACACAACTCAACATATATACACACTACACACATCGACACACACACAACTGCACACACATACACACTAGACACATGACTACACACATCTACATCCATACACATCTACACATATACAACTAAACACATACACACAACCACACACACAACTCAACATACATACATACTACACACATTGACACACAACTGCACACACATACAACTAGACATCCACAGGACTACACACATCTACATACACACAACTACATACATATAACTACACACACACTAAAGATACACACACAACTACACACATCTACATCCACACAACTATACACACATACACACTACACACACAAACTAAACACACACAACTACACACATCTACATATAAACTGTACACACACAGCTAAACACACATACACTACTACACAAACTACACACATCTACATACACAACTGCACACACACTACACACACAGCTAAACATACACACACTACACACATACACACAACTAAACATATACACACAACTACACACATCTACATACACACTACATACACAACTATACACACAACATACACACAACTACATACACAACTATACACACAACTAAACATACACACAACTACATATACAACTACACACACAACTAAACATACACACACATCTACATACACACAACTGCACACACACAACATACAATTACACAACATACACACAACTAAATATACACATACACAACCACACGTATCTGTTAATATGCACACAACTAAACATACACAATTATACACATCTACATACACACACCTACACACAAAACCACACACACCTACACACACAGAAATACACACATCATACATACACAGCTACACACATACATGCAACCACACACACAACTAAATACATACACGGCTACATATAAAAAGTGTATATTATATATAAACAGAACAGATAAAATACATATACTTTAAATACGATTCTGGGAGAAACAAACCTCTTTCTGGTAAAGGAGCCGAGTAGGAGTTGTCTGGGGCCGGAAGCTGGCAGGGAAAGGCACAGGGAACTTTCAGCGATCACTGAAATTTCTGTTTCTTGACAGTGGAGGTGGGGGTGTTATGCAGGTGCATGCACCTGTCAAAACTCATCAACCTGTACACACAATGCACGTGGGTGCATTTTATTCTAAGGAAATTCTGCCTCAATAACATTAATTTTAAAAAGAAGTATGGCTTCTCTATCAAGGAGACGCTTCCTACATTGAACACATGTGCGTTTCATTCTACTGTAAAGGCCCCTCTGCTTGGTGGCAATGCCAGTCTTTGCCAAATGAGGGGTTGGCCCACACCGACCCTGCTCTCCACCTAGAACACACGGCCTGGAGCAGTTTATAGGCGGCACAGCAACATGTCCACAGGTGTCCCTGGAAGGGTACTGGAGTCAAATGCATTCTATCGACTTCTTTGCTTTGTCCACGAACTCTGAGCCTTTTTGGACACAACTAAGTGCCCCTCCTTCAAGCTCCTCCCACACCTTCTGACCTCCCACCCTCTGCTGCTGCTAATCCAGGGAATGCCCTGTGGCCCCTCTTTCTTCCTGGCCCCTAATGTTCTCTGCTCTCCTTTCTCCTCCACTTCACCTTTAAGGTGATGACCCCCACCCTTCACCCAGAGGGCAGCAGGCAGGAGGCAGAACACCCAAACATGTGCCAGGCTCAGATGTTCAGGAGAAGAAGGAAGGGGCAGGTTCACGAACTCTGCATTCAATGAGAAATGAGCTACTAACCATGGAAGACATGTATTGCAGTACTTATTTATGACTGCTTTTGTTCAGCCAATGAAAATCCATTAAGCACTGATAATGTGCCAGAGTTCTGGGAGCTGGAGACAGTGCAATGAATAAAACAAACAGAGGCCGGGCATGGTGGCTCAATGCCTGTAATCCCAGCATTTTGGGAGGCCAAGATGGGTGGATCACCTGAGGTCAGGAGTTTGAGACCAGCCTGACCAACATGGTGAAGCCCCGTCTCTATTAAAAAATACAAAAATTAGCTGGGTATGGCGGTGCATGCCTGTAATCCCAGCTACTCGGGAGGCTGAGGCAGGAGAATCGCTTGAACCTGGGAGGTGGTGGTTGCAGTGAGCTGATATCACGCCATTGTACTCCAGCCGGACAGCAAGAGCAAAATTCTGTCTCAAACAAATAAACAAACAAACAATTCCTTGTCTTCCAAAGCTAGGGATTTCCTGAGCCAGTGGGATGGGAGAGCACAGACTGCAAAGGGCCATGAAAGAATGTTCTGGAGGGACAGAAATGTTCTACATTGTGACTATGGTGCTGGCTACACAACTATGTCCATTTATTAAAACTCATTAAATTGTACACTTAAAACTGGTGACTTTTACTTTATGTAAATTAGATCTCCATAAAAATTGAATTAAAAAATCCGCACCTTCACAGAACTTGCATTCTGAAGGCCTTCCTATAAATTTTTGAATATCAAATCCTAACCCTTCAATAATCAACATTAGTTTTAACATGAAAAGTTCACAGAAACTCTGTGTCATACTTAAGTTCAATAACTTTAGAAAAGTAATGAATGATGCTAACCAAAGTTTTCTGATTTAACTTTAACACAATTATTAGGAGAAACTGTTATCTGAATAAATGCAAGCCATACATATCTAGAAAGGAAAGTGGCAGCCTTGCTTAAATTTTGATCTTAATCATAGGAAATTTGTGTTTATGCCAAAAATCAATGAGACAATAGGGTCACAGTTAACTTAAAAACATTTCCCCGGGGTTTCAGGGATAGGAACAGGATTTGAGTCAAACTCCGTTACGGTTTCATTCGACAGAGGCTTTCATGTTCTGGAAACATTACAAACCTGGGCTTGCCATTTTCTCCAGTAACCTCCAGCTCCTCTGAAAGTCGGAACACCACTTTCCGCACTAACACCTGCGCCTGAGATGATGACTATGTGCTTTGCTTTTGCAAAACACTTCCGAAAATCTGCCATACCTAAACAGAGTAAAATCTTTATCAATCCGGTGTACCATTTGGACATTTGTATCCCATATCAATTGTCTGTATCTTGAAACTTGACCCAGTGTGAAGTTATACTTTAAGATAAACAAACATCTTTCCTGTACCATGAAAACACCATCCCATGTGACCTGCTGGGTGACTGTACAGTGTTTTAAAGAAGCAGGGGCTTTGGGCACACACAGCTGGCTCTGCACCGCAGCTATGCCTCCCAACCAAATGTATGATCTTATGCACATTATGTACCTTTCTCTGTCCTCACTTTCCTTGGCTCTTTGAGGTGCACAGTAATGCCTTTCCTAGAGCAGGCATATTACGAAGATTAAAAAAGCCTAGTGCGAAGGAATCCATCTTCCTTCACAAAAGTAAAAACAAGCCTGTATGTTTGTGTGAGTGCTGAGTTGAGGCCCACTGGACCCCAAAGCCTACCCTTCCTCCCCAAGTTCACCTTCCCTTTGCGGATCGTGCTAATTTCAGCTTCCCTCAGCACAGCGACTGAAGGTGAGGGCAAGGACACATGGCCTTCTCCTTGACAACTCAAATAAGAGCCAAACTTTTCAACAGGACACTGCCAGAGACTTGGGGTAGCAAAGGGAACTGAAGACAGAGAAGAACACGAGACGAAGTAATTGTGGACACAGACCATGGCTCGCCCTCCCGTCCGGCAACTCCAGGCAGTTCTCCTGCCTGAACACAGACCCACAGGGACAGCAGCTACGGTGGTGAGGGCTCCCTGCACCCCACGTGCTATGCCAAGCACTTTACATGGATCACAAGGTGGGAGTTTTTCCCCTGAAACAAATGTCCTCATCCTAGGACAACAAGCAGGAGCCAGACTTGGAACTCATGATGGGGTCTCCTGGGCAGCAGAAACTGGGAAAGGGAGGTCGGCTGGGGACACAGCTTGTCTCCCCTTCTCTCCTAGGCACTACAGCTCTGCAGGCCCTCGTAAGGTAAGCAGCGTGGCCCTGGAAAGCCAGAATTAAGGGGTATAACACTGAACATGGTCTGCCAGGAGGAGAAGAGAGAGCCCCTTTTCTGCCCTCCCCCTGGAGAAGCAAATGCTGCACCTCGCTGCCCACTGCAGGCCTAAGACACTGAATGAAGCCAGGAATGCCCCACCCTGCATATGGAGATCTTCCAAGGATGACCAACCTGTATTAAAGCACTAAGGATTCCAGCAAATGTGGAACTGAATTCCTCGGCTCACTAAGCAAGCTTCCTGACCTTCCTCTCTTGAAGGAATGGCAACCAAGGCTAACCCTTGGATGGAATGAATGAGGGGAGGCTAACCCTCCCCTGAGAGATGGAACCGGGGACAGGCAGGAAGCGGGCAAGGAAGAAACATAGTGGGATGGGGGCTCAGAGATAGTGAGCTTGAATATTAAAGGGAATGTGGCCTCATTTTGTATCCCAGCTGTAAGGAGCATCCTACTGGCTTCTCATGTATGGCTGACTCCCTCTAAGCAGGGAAGGGACTTCCTCGTCCTCATAAGCCCAGAGCCACACACTACGCCCAGTCTAGGATAGAGACTATCAATAAAGGCTCAACCCCTCCTCCCCTTCCCTTCCTCTCTTCCCTGCCATGGACTCCTGATAAAAATAAACTCAGAAGAAGAGTAGGCTTTTTCCTCTCTGGCTCTATTCATGTTTTGGCAGCACAACGCTGAGAGAAATTAAGACGGTCACAATGGAACAGAACAGAGTCCTCAGAAATAACACCACCCATCTACAAACATCTGATCTTTGATAAACCTGACAAAAACAAGCAAGGGGGAAAAGATTCCCTATTTAATAAAGGGTGCTGGGAAAACCGGCTAGCCATATGTAGAAAGTTGAAACTGGGTCCCTTCCTTACACCTTATACAAAAATTAACTCAAGATGAAGTAAAGACTTAAATGTTAGACCTAAAACCATAAAAATCCTAGAAGAAAACCTAGGCAGTACCATTCAGGACATAGGCATGGGCAAAGACTTCATGACTAAAACACCAAAAGCAATGGCAACAAAAGCCAAAATAAACAAATGGGATCGAATTAAACTAAAGAGCTTCTGCACAGCAAAAGAAACTACCATCAGAGTGAACAGGCAACCTACAGAATGGGAGGAAATTTTTGCAATCTACCCAT